CCAGAGTCCATAGTATGCATGATAATATCCAGAGTTTGATCGTAGACTTGGTACATTCCCAGACATTTCGCCGGCATCGTAATCGTTATCGTCAAAGTGACAAGTAAAGTCGATCCTTTGACCAAATATCTGCCAAGCAGTTGTGGTATCTCTCATTCTACCATTGGCTATTGCCGTTGAATGTAAAATATGTGATACTGTTATGTATATTATCAACAATAAAACTGTCAAAGTAAATGCATACTAGTGGGGAAATTGATAGATGGATGATGAAATCTTTAATAAAAAATGACGCAAGACCACCGACAGCCTACGGAGTACCGAAGATACACAAGGAAGGAAATCCGCTAAGATTATGAGTCAATAACAAGCATGGAGCAATACACAAACTAGCGAAATTAATTTTCTTGAAGCTCAAGAAAGTAAATGACAGACTCTCGAATACCGTTGAGAATTGATATGAATTTTCTCAAACAACTCAAAGCACGGAAATGTTGGTAAGTTTTGACGTACAATCCATCTACATAAACATCTTAGGCGAGAAGCCACTCATCGCCCTGCTGGAGGTCTTCGAACAAGAGGAGGATATCTTGGAAGCAGAGCGGATACGGAAAGAGTCGTTAACACGACTAATCAACATAAAAATAAGTATCACATATTTTACATTCAACAGCAATAATATCTATGAGCAAATATTTGGATCTCCCCTCTCACCTCTTTTGGCAAATGTATAAATGGACAGATTGGAGAAAGAATTCGACGAGTCAACGCTGCAAACAAGAGTACTTATGCGATTCCTGGACGACTACTTTGCATTTTGAACGCATAATAAGAAAGATTTGGATGAATTCCTCATTTTTATAAACCAAATTTATGGGAGAATTAAATTCACAATAGAGATGGAGGAGGATAAACGACTACCCTTCCTTGATATTGAGGTTATTCGCTCCAACGGAATACTCAAGAGGAGACTATTCAGAAATAAATCATATGCGGGAATAATCCTCAATTTCTAGTCTCATCACAACTACAGACTAAAGACCGGAATAATAAGGATTATGATTATCAGAAGCTTAAGATGTACGGACACTCAGTTCTGGAACTAGGAGTTGGAGAAACTGACTCTGATTTGCTTTAGTAACGGGCCTCCCAGAGAAATTATAGAAAGAAATATAGAGGTCATAAAGAGCAGATTTTAACTAGAATTTTATGAAAATAAGATTAGACCTCGGGAGACGACAAGAAGTGGATATTCTTGCCCTCTTGTGAGCTGATCCAAAATTGCGACCGTTGCAAAGAAAATGGAATTTTAAGGTGATAACAAAAGAAAAGACATCAATCTTCACAAGCCTGCCAAAGCAACCCGAGAAGGTTGATAAATTTAATTGCTCAAGAGTCTATAGCATCAAATACGGCAACTGTGAGCAGAAATATATTGGTGAAACAGGAAGGAAAATTAGCCTACAAATCAAGGAACACCAAAGACTCTGCAGAAACGTGGACACTGAAAGATGCGAAATAACGGAGCAGATCGCACGAACAGGATACGAAATCGAATAGAAATCTACAGAAGGGCAGGCCACATATGGTGGAATTGTAAGAAAACGTAAGATACTAGAAGCCATTGATATCCTGACTGAAAGAAACCTAATGAACAGGAAACTTAAAGAAGGCAGGATTAGCGAACACTTTGCATGCTGCCTAAACAAACTCGGACAAGATCAGGGATTAGCAACGTCTGGGAATGTACCAAGTCCATGGTTCGACTCTGGAAATTGTCATACATACTATGGACTCGGGACAAGGTGTGTTATTCTAGGTCTTCCTGCCAACATGACCAAGTTACGAATACAAGGTTAAACAACTACTATACATCAAAAGGAGACCGCGACTATGCCAAAGACCACACCATCCTGGTCTTCATATATCAGTTCTCCGGTCACCGAATCAATCTACGTTGGTAATCAGCATAATATAGCCTAATTTGCAGGTTTAAATCCTACACAGCAAAATTTCCAGACTACCACATATACTTACTAATTTGTTCGCTGTCATTTGTCATCATATCGCTGTATAAATTAATGATTATCATATCAAGTTTTGAGAAAACATTCAAACATCTGATGCATACTAAATAAATAGCTTAAATAATATTTTGGACTATGTTGAGTGTGAGTTCATTTTAAAACGTTGATTAAGTGGCCACATTCTATAGAGGGCCATATCATTTCCTAGGCAGTCATATATATATATGTATGTATGTATGTATGTATGTATGTATGTATGTATGTATGTATGTATGTATGTATGTATGTATGTATAAGGAGATATATATATAGAGAGAGTTACAATAATCCCAACGCCACTCTGCACCATTTAGAGCACAATCCAGAAATTTGTTTTGGTCAAATCTTTTATCTCACTTGTGATCGTCAAAATATGTTTAAATCGCTCAATAGTTAGACACTTTGACTGGTTTTATGCTTCTTTTTATTTTATTTATTCAAGCACAGAATGTGGTACAAAAAAATGGAATAGGGTAAAAGTTTAAAATTCATGCTACTATTTGGTTGGCAAACTATGGGCATTACAATGATAAATAAATAATTCTTTGCATTTGTTTATTAAATTTTCAAGATGTCACTATGAAAGCATTTTATGGGCAAAATATGAATTTTAAATATCATGTATCATTTTTTTTATTCTTATTTCCTTTTTATCTAACATCAACATAATCTAATATTTTAATGAAAGCTTGATGCAGCCAAGCTCTGACAAGTGGTTATCTATGTCAAAATATAATTTTCAGATTATGCATATGGGTTACTTTCCTAATATTTTATTATACTTGCATTACACTACGATGTATCTATTCTCTTTAAACCTTCTTAAGGTGCGCTTCTTGGAGGCTCAGAATCGCAAACTGGCCAACGAGCTGAACACTTTGAGGGATAGATGGGGCAAAGAGACAGAGCGTATCAAGGCAATGTACGAGGTGGAGATGGAGCAGTTGAGACGTCTTTTAAACGCGGCTGAAAAGGCCAAGGCAGAACTAGAGTTACGTATCAACAGTATGGAGGACCAACTGCTCGATGCGCAGCACTTGTAAGTGCTTTCTTTCACTTTTGCATGCTTTCCATTATATGTTGAATAAGTGGTGTAAATAAGTATTTATCATTAAAAGATCAATACAATTCAGCTTAAAATGATTAAAATAGATTTATAACATTAAATGCGTTAGTTGGCAATATTTACATTTGGTAATACAGGTCATTTAACTGTTCTAATAAGTTGTTTATTTTACTTATTTAAGTAGAGTTTCGAGACTACCAGTAAATCAGTAATATGAGACGTATTCACCTAATTTCATTTAAGGTCATGAAGGACTGGTAGTAGAATTTTCCCGCAATTATATTAGTAGAGCTGAACTGTGACTTAAGGGCATTCATGTCATTGTGGCCGAGTGGTTAACGTGTCAAGCTCACATTCTGTACTGTCACGGTTCGACTCCCGCTAGGGGTGTTGATAGGACCTATGCGAGGTCGAAACTGCAATCCACCCTGGATGAGAACAACTTTTGGAAAAGCAAGGCTATGTTAAATTCAATGGAAACGTCAGCTCTACTCATATCATTTTGGGAAAATTCCACTACCCGTCCTTCATCAACTTAAACGAAATTGGGTGAATACATCTCATTATGTTTATTTTAAGCAAAACTTTCCACTTACGTTATATCGCGCCCTAGTTTCTTGTGTGTCAATCCACAAATGTTGTGGTATTGCTTGCTTTGATTAGATTGAATGTTGAACCATAACCTTTATGGGTTGGCACACAAGAGACTAGGGCATAGGAATTCCTAGAGTTGGTATTATGGATGGAAACAGAATAGACACGGCGGAGAATAGAGCTAGTGTCTGACAATAGGCCTGTTTTGCAATAGAAAAAGTCCATGAAGCAAAGGCTTGACCATGAGAATTACTAGTATATAAGCAAAACGGCTGCAGTACGCATCTCTTCATCATGTACTTCAATATGAGATGAAAGACTTCACATCAGGATTACACGATGGCAGC